TCTGGAAATTTACACCTTATCACGAAGTTCTGCTTACTCAACACCAAGATAAGAATTCGGATCAAAAATGCCTGACTTTGCTCTAACAGCTCTGCTCGCGAATGCCTCTTCCAACACTTCTCGTGCTAATTCTCATACAGTTTAGCAGTCAATTTGAAGTGTTTAGAGACAGCGAAGTTTGCAACTCCAAAGAGTGTGCGTTTTCTCTATCATTTTTCTTTTTATTTAACCGATATTCTAAAGAATTTGCCGTTGGTAAAAAAGTGACTAGATAAAATTGTTTTGCTGACAAACTTATGTCTAGAGATATTTTTGCTTCATTTGAATTTTGGGCAATAAACGTGATTACTCCTTTTGGATTTTGAGACTTATAATGGGTATGTTGAATCAAATATATTGATTCTAACCTCTTTTCAAGCGCTAATGCAAAGGGTCAAAGGGGACTTTGTACGATTTCAAGATAAAAGGGGATTCGTTTTGAAATTCCCCTAGTGCCAGAACGTGCCGAGGCCTTATCGGGATCAATATTTGCGTCTGCTTATGCAATGACATGGGATGATTGAAAAGAGTACTAAGAAAGTAGTTTCATAAAATATCCTTCTGCTTCTTATGATTTTGGTCGCTAGAGACCTAAATCCGTGTCTGCTAAAATGTGATTTTAGTTCTTTCGGTTTGGTGAGCGCTCTTTCTGAAAAAAGCTGGTTAGAATTCCTCCCGGAAAATTATAAACTTCAGAATTTTCATCAAGCATTTCAAGTCTAAATCAGATGAAGTCTCCATATTATGAAATACAACAGTTATCAATTGTGTATTCTAAATATTTCTGTATACTTTCTCTTCAAAATTTTTTTCAACATTGATTTCCCTATTTTTGGTGCAAGACTTAATCATCAACCTTATATATTACATATTACTCGGCGGAGCAAATCAAGTTCTATTAGGCTTTCTCGAAACTTTTTCAAAATTCAACATCTAAAATAGTATTTTTTGACAACGAGAGTACCTACGACGGTACAACTACGGAGTCATACTTATCAATGGATAAACCGTTACGTGTGTGGGAAGAACTCGGGACCATTATGGGCTGAATTTCTCTTACCTTAATCTTTTTGTTACTTTCTAGCAATGGAAAAAATACGGGAATTGTGCCTCTTTATGGGTGATTACGATCTCTAGAATGTTTTGGAACGGAGATACATTGATTGAAGCTAAATTCTGTTCTTGAGTACTATATTTGGCTATAAACTCTGCGTGGAATACGATTTAAATGGATGTTTGGTGACTTTATGTAGAACTTACTTCGCGTATGATAAACCAAACTGCACCCAAAAAAGGGAGTAAAACAGAAAGAATATAACCTCTTTAACATCAGAAAAAATTATGGGAAGTCTGATACAGTCAATTTCTAGACCTTAAGGTTGTTTGATAAAGGGGGGGGGGGCCTTCCGTCTCGTTTTTCTAATTTCTTATTTCATTCAGCTCCCTGCGATTGAACTTGGGTGGTTCTCTCGTTTGTTCATAGTTGCTTTGTTGTAGCCTGCAGGCGCCCGGCCTAGGTTTTTTGTCACACTATTAGCCTCGAAGCCAACCCATTGGATGTACGAATCACCATATCTCTTGTTTCGGTTCTAAGATGTCTAGTTCATTCCTCAATAGTTCCTCAACAGCTTCTCGACAGTCACCTATTCACTGTTCTGTATTAGCTCTTCTGTACTACTCCTATTCTCTATATTTGTATATCAGCTTCCTCCCGTGGTTTGTCATATTACTGATAAACCATTATATTTTACCAGTTGTTTTGCTAAGTCAGTGGAACCTGCGGTCTAGACCGTCCTACCGCCACTTTATTTCTTTTTTGAATTACGGCGCATCGTGAGTGTACTGAACTCAAAATAAAATTAATATAAAATAAAATAAAACATATAAAATATCCACTCACGTCAGAATTCGTATCCCCTCCAAAAAGTTCTACAGACTTCTAAAGTGTTCAAACGGTTATTATTAATTAGATTGCCACTTCTGTATTTTTCCCGCCTAGAAAAACAAGAAGAATTCATTAGAAAGACGACAATTGCCAATTTCCAATATGCTAACCAATTCCATTCCAGGTCCTTCGAGTTTGCTCTACTATCACGTTTGTTGTTCGGATGAGTGCTGCCTGCGCTTGCAACCGATTCCAGAATTTATTGTAGCGGCTGTAGTGTTTGTATTTGCAATCATTCTTTGCATTGTATGTTATAATGAGATGAAAGAGGAGGGCAATAGGTAGGCCGTACCGTCATAACAATTTCAAGGAATGATATCTTCTTCATGTCTTGTTGTTTATTTGGCATAAACATTGACGCGATTTAAGTTACGTTGCGACAGATCTGGAAGGGTTTCTTTCGGGACATATTCCTTCAGACGCGAGTGTATTTGTAAACAACTTTTCAAAATTTGAATCTATCTCTAGCACCATTTTCAGATGAGAAAACATTAGTCATGATGATGATTTATCAGCATTTATTGCCAAAAGTTGTGCAAAATCTCGTTGTTCAATAGGTTAATGTCACAGGAATTGAGTCACGTACTTTTTGAACCTCATCACAATAGATTGTGAAACTGAAAGTACTATGAGTTTTTGACCTACTTTACGCAACTCACCAGACTTTGATCTACATGATTCCAAGTTTATTGCACAAGAGGAGTTTATGAGCTTTGTGACATATCTGAGGCTTTATACTGGAAAGTGTATATCTAGAGAGAAGGACAAAGTAAAAGATCTAAACTTAAAGGTACGAATTGCGGTAAGAAACATAAATCAATTTTGCTGTTTAGTAGTGTCTTTTCGAAAATAATGTTCTCACAATGACCACACAAACCTTGATCGATCAGATTCCACAATGTCCATGTGATAAAAAGTTTCCATTACGAAGTACATATAGTTTTTACGTGAGTGCATTATACAGAAAAGGTGGAACTTATGATTTCATATAGTACAACAGAATTTTCGCAATTCAATAAATTAACATCGAAGTCTTGAAACAGTGAAAATCATGGGAAAATTGCAGTACTTGCGCGCATGCATGATCACATAACTAGCATTTCAAATTCGATTTTAGCTGAACTGGAACTTGATATACGGCGAAGTTTCAAGCACGAATCAAAATAGGCATAATTCCAGCCTTGTATGCAAATGCAACTATTCGTACACCTTGCACTCCCTGTGCTCAAAAGAGGTGAAAACATAGGCAGCGTCTCGGCAAAATTTTGCTGTTTTTCAATTATTCGGAGCCTTCTCGTCATGAGGAACTCATATCTGGTTTCCAACGCACGAAAATAGCAAAGTGAGTCTTTTCGAAGCTTTCCAGCTCCAGTGAAAATATGCCGGAGTCCCCTAGCTTTCCATCTCCAGTGAAAATATGCCGGAAGTCCCCTACACCACGCCTTCTTCGTTTCGGACTCCGCCCACTTACACGTATTTTCCACTGAATACGGATCGTTGAAGCTTCGAGAAAAGCTCATTTTCGCCATTTTCATGCGCAGAAAAGCCCAGATATGGGTTCCTCATGGCGAGAAGGCTCCAAAAAGGTGAAAAACTGAAAAAAGAAAAATTGCCAATGTACAGATTTCTTGTGTAAACACATTATTCATAAGATTCCCATGTGTGGCAAAATAAACATATTAACATAGAAATAACACGACTCAAAGGTTCAGTTTTTTTCCGAAGAAATAATCCTCTTAGGCCTCTTCGTTCTACATGCAAGTAAATGATACTGCAGAATTATAGAGCTACTCAAGCTCTTGTTCGAAAAAAATCTTATCCAACAACACCACAAATTCAAGAGCTCCATCGAACTTCATCAAGTGTATCGCATTCAATGTGATAGATGAGAATGAGCGCGCGATGGAATTCTCTCAAACGTCCAGTTAAGAAGTTCAGCAAAATTGAAGTCAAGCATAATATGGATGAGCTTGCGTTTGATTAGCGAATGCTAGTAATGAAGTAGTCAAGCTTGCTAACTTTATGAGTTTGATTAGAGGCTTTCGCGGTGCAATGTCTCCATTGGTGCGTTAAGTAATACAGTTCATGTAATAAACATTACTTAATAAACAATACTTACCCATTTCGCAGGAGCTCATCTGTTTCCACATTTCGCAGGAGCTCATCTGTTTCCATTTCATGAAGATGTACCAGAACTTGAGGATCACCAGAAGATGTTAACGAAAGACAAATTCAATGCCTAACCCCGGTTAAAAACAAACAGACTGAGGCGTATTAATCTTGAGAAAACCGTTAGGACCTCACAGCTAAGTTCAAAACGATTTTCATGAGATCGGACGGTGTTTTCTATAAAGCCACTATTACAAGGATATTGAATTGCCGCTACGCGAAAATCGCGATGAATCCATTGTCCCATACATCTGCTTGAATAGATTTCTGCCATTTTTGAGCAATAAAATCAATGTTTCATCAATCTTTTCCCGTTTTCGTATAGAAATATAATTGAATGTGAAATTCAATTTTTGCTGAGATCCAAAGGTTTTGTCGCAATTTCCTCGTCGCGGCGATTCATTGAGATTTTCCAGTAAAAGTAAATTTAGAAAAATTTGTGATTTTTCGAAATCCTTGTGTATCACTGGTTTTCCAAAAATCTCATGAAAATTGTCTTGAACCTATTTATGGGGTCTTCACTGTCTTCTCAAAATCACTGCGCCGAAATCCTTTTTTTTTATCCGAGTTGGGGGCGGCATTATAGAAGGCACTATAGCTGCCGGATGTGGATAAACTTTCCCATCTCCACGATCACAATTCATACATGGGTAAAGCAGACCTCCAATTTAGGCTTGGGATTTCAAAGCTCGTGAGTGTCGTTCACAAGGTGGCAATTCCGAACAATGATCCATCTCGTTGAGTGATTTCGAAGCAGTTCCCATGTCGACTTCTCATTTATCAGACGTCCTTGAGTGTGAGAACCCGTCCGCAGATCAGTGCCACAGCTCTCACTCACTGTCCGAATATGCGCTTGATCGTGCTGGCATCGTCGTGGCTGGCCATCGTCTTCTGTCAAAATGCAGCTGATCTCGAATTCTCTCCATATGTCTACACTGCCGTCAATATTCCATTCAAAAGCGTAAGTTGTTAATGTTAGTTAAGTTTTGTAGCATTCAACAAATCTCCATAATCAAGACCTTATAATAACGGGCTAAGGGTTGTTTACGTGTTTTTGTGCGTGTGTGTGTGTGTCCGTCTGTTACGAAATTCGTAGAGCGTGTTCCAGCCAGCGTTCTAAGCCCAAATTTTGCACAGTGCATGCTCCCTTCCTGGAAGTCTAACATGCAAAAGCACGAGTAGATTCGTTGAGTGGATCCCTTAGAAATTGCGCGCCAAACGGATCCACCTGGCTTCTGTCCCGCAAAATTGGGTCCGTATCACCACTTTTTGCAAAGTCGTGGGTGTATTTGGTTAGCAAATGTGCAAACGATGGAGTTTAGCCAGAAAAGTGATCGAAAGTTTACTACATAACGAAAACGGCGCCAAAACGAATTGGTTGTGTAAATGGTCAATTTGCCAAGGTTCTAGCTAAGGTTTGAGAAGATTTTCGCACAGAGATGTAGCTCACGGTTACTACTGCCTTTATGGCGACTACCAAGCCATGACAAGTTCAAAAACCTATTCAAATTTGCGTTTGTCTTCCTCTGAAAAGTTTTATCCACGCGAAATCACCGATCTCACGTGAAAAAGCTTTTTAAATGAGTAGTTGTTTACATTTTATTCGTGGTAGTCGGCATAGCGCGGTGAGTTCCAGTGCCACAATTCTACGAGAATGAGTAAGGCACGTAGATAGTGGGGCCAGTGCGAGCCTCTGCGAAGCAGAGGTGACGCACTGGTAAATAGATTATCCTCGTCTTCAAATTTATTCGATATGTACGTGTCTCATATCATGACTTATAATAACGGGCTAAGGGTTGTTTACGTCTTTTTGTGTGTGTGTCTGTCCGTTACGAAATTCGTAGCGCGTGTTCCAGCCAACGTCCTGAGCCCAAATTTTGCGTAGTGCACGCTACCAGCATGAAAGCTCACTATACAAAAGCATGAGCGGATCCGTTGAGTGGATCCGTTGAAAATTGCGCGTCAAACGGATCCACTTGGCTTCTGTTCAGCAAATTTGGGTCCGTAGTACTACTTTTTGCAGAGTTATGGATATATTTGACAAGTTAATGTGCAAGCCATGGACTTTAGTCTAAAAAAGTGATGAAAAGTCTACTACTTTACGAAAACGGCGCCAAAAAGCATTGGATGTGTAAACGGTCAATTTTTCGAGGTTTTACCTGATCATTTGAAAAGATTTTTGCACAGAGATGTAGCCCACCATGTTTATTGTCCTTATGGCGACTATAAAACCATGAAAATTTCAAAAACTTATTCAAATTTGCATTTTTTCTTTTGGTAAAGATTTCATTCACGCGAAAATACCGATTTCACTCGAAAAACCTCTAGGAATGAGTAGCTGTTTACGAATCATTCGTAATAGCCTACAGAGCGCGGTGAGTTTCAATCTAATTATTATGCGGGAATGAGTAAGGCATAGATAAAGTAGGGCCAGTGCGAGCCTCTGCGAAGCAGAGGTGACGCACTGGTGAAGAATACACTTCTTGTATTTTTGAAATTTTTTTTGGAATTTTCGGTTAATGTGACCTTCGTTATTGAAAAGCTCAACCTTCCGAAGTGCATGTGTATTACAAAAATCTGAAAGGATGAAAAAGAAGAATGTTACAAGAAGGTAACGTCACATGTGGCCAACTGGCTTATTGGCATTATCAATATGCCATTACAAATGACTCCACAGAGGGATAAGACTTAATTTCTTTCATTGCCTTGCGGAAATGGTTGAGGGACAGTCCTTCTGAGCTGAAAAATGTTATAGAAAGTGGTTTAAATCTTGAAAATTGATATTAGGGTGATCCAAAAGTAATGGGGCACCTTGAGAATAAATGCAGTTTTCTCAAATAGAAAAGCTAGTTGGAAGTCCAAGTTTTGATAGATGTTAGTCATAACAAAACCTTCTTATCGAGGTCTATAGTCGGGCACTGTCTCATGGCGTTTTCTATAAGCGCTTAAAATTAAAGCTCATCACTTCAAGTGACTATGAACTTTGAGCAGCATCGCCGCAGTAGAACAAGTGAGCCTACCAAAGATATCTGCGCAGCAATGTGTGAGGGGACTGTCACCAAATCCACAATAGCTCGGTGGTCCCAAGGCTTTAGAACAAAAGTTATAGCATTGGGTATCAGGAGACATACTACTTATTCTTTCATCAAGGTAATCAGATAAGCTCAACTTTAATAGTTGCTTTTTGATAGTGATTTTACGCTCTATCCATACATATGCAAATTAGTTCGACTTTTCTTATTTTCAGAAATTATAGCCAAAACATGAATTTTTGTTCGAAAATCTGCGCCAAATACCGCATTTTTTCGAATAAAGTGCCTTTTTTGTATGAAATAATGGGCAGTTTTCGAATACTCAAGTAATCATTAGAAAGAGCTTGGAAAGCTCTTTCGAATGGTATGCCATATGTCGAAGGACTTTCAGGTGCAGCAGCACAAATTCGGATGGCTTTCAAAAAAGTCTGTCTGACTTCTTTGAAGCGCCGCTCGAAGGAATGTCGGTGAGATGCTGCAAGGTGCTGTCAAGATAATCTGCGAAGGTCACTTTATACAAAAACGTTCAAATTGCTGGTTGTTCATAGCTAAACAGAAAGAGATCTTGAAGAATGTTTAAGAAATCAAGGTGCCCCATTACTTTTGGATCACCCTAATAAATATGGGTCTGATTTAATTTTTACACCTCAAAACCTTTGCAGTGAATGACCTGAATTGTTGATTCGCACTTTTGCAGTTGATTTCTTCATCACCTTCTACGATGTTTATCGGCACTAGCTGCAGCGTGTAAACACAGAGTTGCTAAAATTAGCCAGCTTTGGGCAGATATTCCTAGCAAAATAAACTCTAACTCTAAAAAATTATGTGCAATGAAAGTAAATAAGATCTACTTTTGCTGAAATTGACGAATGTAAGAAAAAGTCCTACTTTATGTTGTTACATATGCCATATCTTCACCACAACCTCTCGCCATAAAGCTGCTGCATAGCTCTGTGCAGTCACATACAGGCAAAATGAAAGCAAAGCGAAAAAAGTGCGACTGTGAAAGTTTTTCAGAGTTTCTTGGTTTCTTGTAATCTTAATAAGCTCAGGTGTTCTAAATTTTTGCTATGCGAGAAGTTCCTTGAGTAAACTGAATTCTAATCGTAGACAGTATTACCCTTCGATTTTTTGCTTTTTTCTACTACTACTTGGCATTTGCAGCCAATCATCTTTACAGTTTTATATCCTCTGCATGATGATTTTCAGCTTCATTCATGGGTTTTAGTGAGGGTAATATAATCTCAATCGTAGTAGAAGTGGCTCAATCATGACGCATATCCAAGCTTAACAGCCTAAAGACTTCTAATTTTTCGGAATTGTTAGCATTTCTGCTGTTTGCTTTTGGGGGCAAATCACATTGTGCTTGAGCACATTGATTCACGTCAGATGTACCTACTACAATGTCTTGAATGCTGTAGCTTAGTCAATATTTTCAGTCCAACTATGCTAAAGATTGGTTTGGATCAGATGTAGCCCTGGTTCAACATCCTTTGCTAGGTGAGTGTAATATTGCTTTTAATTGAACACAATAACTGCTTAGATATAACAAACATGCTTTGGTGCTATGTGGCTACAAACCATAGCTTTGAATTTTGTAAACCAAAAATGCCGGTTTCCTAGGGATAGCTTTGCAACTCGCTACAACTGTATTGCAAATTTGCCTACACCCTTTTTTGTGTTACTGTCAGGCGCGCGATTAATAACGGAAAAATCCATTGACCACATTAAAAACCATGTAAAGGCTGCTGCATGACGAAGGCGCAATGGTGATATTGGGTGAGCGTGCGCGAACGCGACGCGCGCGTATCCTCACCGTTGTAGACCCCGCACCTCATGCGCTCTGCGGCTAATAAAGCCGCGTTCGCGCCCGAAGTATTGCGCCTTCGTCATGCAGCAGCCTATATGCGCTAAAACTTGCAAGTTTTTTGATCCTTCTTTCGGCTTAAAAAACGCTCCAATGTTTATGTGGTATCCATTAGTCCTATCTCCTTCGCAGAAAAAAATGTGAGAACATAAAAAGCTTGTTGTTTGGGTCTTAGATACAAGAAGCAATCGAATAGTTTGCAGGGGAAAAGTAGATGTCGGGCTTTTAATGTCAACATAACTTACATAGATGATTATAAAGTCTTCACTCATTTGCGAATTTGTTTTTGAATTTTACTCTTCTTGGATAGTTTTTTTTTTTTTGATTAACAGGCGGATGGTTCACTGGAATTGCTTTAATTATTTAAATTCTTCACCCAGTTGCGAAGTGATTTGATTTCAAATTTTGCTCTTCTTGGCCAGTTTTTTCCTTGGTTAACAGGCTGATGGTTCACGAATCACTTGTATCATTTGCAGCACCAGCAAAACCGTCCAAACCGGGTAATCCAGTAGCGCTTCCCACGATCGCGCCTTACGTCGTTTCATGGAAGGATCTTGACAACATCCACATCAATGATGAGAACGTCTGGAACTTTGAGAAGAGAGTCGATAGCAAAGTCTGGTGGCCAAGCTAATTTGTGTAACCTCAGTCAATCTCTATGTATCCTGCAACATAAGCATTACCTTTCTTTTCAGGACTTTCAATACATAATAATCCCATTTGCGATAACAACTATCCAGTAGCGAAACATCTGGCACGCCACGCTATGCTATTTTGATCCTCGCATAATCTGAAAGCTTTGCCAATCTAGAATATTCTACGCATCTCGTGTTCTATCTCGCACGCGCAGACGTAAACATAAAACTTGCACGTAGTTTTTGTAAGTAAATAAAGTGTTTATCCCCACTTTCCTTCTTCATTTTCCCAACAGCCTTGAGTTCCATGTAGTAGAGTCTGATTTCTCTATGGATCAAATCCATATATTGCGGGGAAACTAGTTGCTCAGTAAAGGTTGATGAAAGCAGGTGAGAATGAAGGATTAAAAGCAGTATCATAGAACTCGGTTTAATGTACTGACAGGGTAAATGAAGTGAAAATTGCAAATGAGAACGATATAGACGTGCTCGGAGCGAAAGAGTACTTACGTTTCAGTCCTTTCACATTCTTCCTTATCACTGATTCCCTGATACCTTTCATGGTGCCGTTTTCAGCAGCACCGTTGTATCCGTCAAGAGTTAAACTAAACGAATGCATTTCTGACACGAATATTTTTGTTTGGCTTCTACATCTGCCATATCGGGAAAATTGCTGCTAATGAGAGGAGCCCTCTACGTCAGCAATCGTGATTGTTCATGTGTGTCTAAAGGTTCTTCAGAAACTGGAATAAATATAGTACCCACTCTATTACGCTGATTTTTTTTGGAGAAAGCACGTTTACATATTTTTGTGTAAGGCCAATATGAATAGTCCTACTATCGCTTGCTAATCACTTTGATCACAGATTTTTGCTATGTATTGCTCTAAGCTCGTTTACTAAAAGGAGTAACCACTGCGGAAAGCACAATTTTCCCAAACAATGCGGATTTCAATTACAGATAGCTTTTTTTAGTAATTTTCCAAAAAAAAAAAGGTCGCACAGATCATTCATGATTTGCAGGAAAGACTGGCTTCTTGAAAAAATGAGTTATATTGTTGCTATTAAATTTAGGTAGCAGATTCATTCTTCAAACGTTTTCGCTACCACTACTTTCAAGCATTACCCTCTTATTTATGGAACATTTTTCGAGGACTTGGAATTTTATGATGGGTTCTGTCAGTAGCAATCAAAAACTTTTATCGAGTCCGGACTTCAATAAAAAAGGACGAGGCCGTTTTTTTTCTACTCAGCTATTAAGCATGAAAGGACAAGTGCATGAACTGCCTTATAATGCTCTTAACTTTTTGGAGAAGGCAGTTAGGCTAAATAAAGCCAAATAAGGGAAAATGTGAGTGCTCTTAACATACAGCAAACATAAAGCGGCTCTTTTTGCATTGAAATGGGATATGCAAGCGTGTTACTTCCGCTCAAACTCATTTGCTCAACAACTTCCTTGTTCCTTCTCAGCTCATGCATACGTAAAAGCCCAGCTTTCTTGATTCTGTCTACTTAAGCTTCTTGGATTGATCCTGCTTTAGGGATCTATGATATGTTGCGAAATGAAATGTTGCGTTTCCACTCCCTCTAGCCCATTCAGTGCTTCCGAGAACGAGCGATTTAACGGCGGAGTGCACGCTCAGATTTGCTATCGCCTCATTAAGCATGGCCCTAGCAGTTTTTATCTGAACACATTTGGCAGCACTGCCACCCATAGAGCAAAACATCTCAATCCAATTCACGGGAGGATTTGTCGAGCTTATGCTTTTCGTCATCAAAATTACTCCAAAAATTTGATTCGAAGAATTATTCGTGACGTAGTATTATACATAGTAATTTGAATTGTTGCTGTACTTTTTCTGTGCTAAGCCAATTTTACTTTTTTTGCCTCTTACATCATTACGAATTCCGATGACGCCTTGGGACTATAAATAAAAAATGCCATAGGAGCGAGCATCATTTCTAGGTAGAGTGGCTGCCTAAACTTCTTAATGTTTTCATGAATATCATGCGCCGTAATTTTGTTTTCCAAATTTTCATAAACAGCTGATGTTTTCGATAGAAAAATCAGTCAACAGTCTTTTAACCTCCTATAGTGTTATATCTGATGCTAATAAATTCACAAGAGACTATTTTTAAGAAAGAAGTCTGTAGTGGAAAAAAGATGTTTACTCGCCTGAACATACGTCACCATGAATCTCTTTGGCTTTTTTATTTTCTATCCTGGAAATTTTTTTTCGTCTATGATTTTAGAGGCTTCATTGCTCTCCGACTAATCTCTTTCGGAAATAATGCTCTTTGATCTAGTGATTTTTGCTTCATACACTAAGAAACCCATGAATCTTTACAGTAATCGCATACTTGGAGCTTGAACAACTTCGCCTACAAAATATCAATAAAGTGAATGCACTATTAATGTTACTCTCAATAAAACAAGGGCTGAAAGTTTTAGGCTTTCGATAAAACGTCATAAATAGGTGGACATCACGAAACCTTTTACTATAAGAGATAATTTTGTTTGCACCTTATCTTGCGAAAGGTCACCTTTGATTAAATTGATTCAGCACGGCTCATGCACTTGGCTACTTTTAGCATCCGCGACAATGATGTCAGACGTAATTTGAAAGTGAGCTTCATGTCTGACATCACTTTTGTATATGCTATAATGATGGCGCTAAAACTGTGTCAAAATTTCGAAGAAAGGGCTCGTTAAAAGAGGGTAAGCGCGTACACATATTCAATAATCCAATGAATAATTTTGGTCATAATCCTAAGAGTTCATCTTGAATTCGATTACACTTATTCACTCATGCCGTGTCTTGACTTCATCGGTGCGACTGCACACAACATGCAGACTGCGCGTTGCATCCTGGGCTTTACTGGCTTTGTTTTTTTGGATATCAATGACATTTTCTCTGCAATATTCTTCATGAAGTTTTGCCATTTTTCTCCTACCCAACTCCACTATTATTTGGCATATAGATGAGACAAAACAGCTTACGTTATCTATGTGGTCTTGACACTCTTTTATAATCAGGGCTCGGCACGAGCTGGCAAAACGGTCCCATTTGATAGAAAATCTCGTAGGAAGTCCCTTTTGACCCTAAACCCTAAGTGTAAACCCCCATCTCCCAGAAACCCCCCAAAAAACGAAATGTCGACTAAAAAAACGTCGCAATTTTAAAGTATTAGGTTGGTCCGAAAGTTCTGTCCCACCATTTTCAAAAAATCATAACTTCTTCCTGACACAATGTTTTTGCATGGCTAAAACCATTTTGAAAAGAGCAATTCATGCACTTTCTAAAGCTACCTTGGCTGCTATCTATTAAGCTCTTATTGCAGATTTAAAGGGGAAGGAAATCACTTCAAGTTTGGAATTTTTAAACAGGCCTGTTAAAAATTCCAAAACTGTGCCATAAAATCCAAAACAACCACTGTTCTAGACTTTTGACCCCCTCTTCCCAGCTGAGAAAAATTCCTGCTGATCGAGCTGTTACTTCAAAAGTCATGATTTTTTGAAAAAAATGTCAAAAAGTCAATTTTCTTAAAAAACTGATTTTTTGGCATTTTTTCTTGAAAATAATAACTATTCTAGAGAAAGCCCCAGCGCGAATCTTGCTTGTATAGAAAGCGGGGATAAAAAAACCTAGGTTACTGGCTGTTTTGGATTTTATGGCACAGTTTTGGATTTTTTAACAGGCTTGCTTAGAAATTCCGAACTTGAAGTGATTTCCTTTTTCCAATTTTATCTCTGCAATCAGAGCTTAATAGATAGCAGCCAAGGTAGCTTAAGAAAGTGCATGAATTGCTCTTTTCAAGGTGGTTTTAGCCATGCAAAAACATTGTATCAGAAAGAAGTTATGATTTTTTGAAAATGGTGGGACAGAACTTTCGGACCAACCTAATATTTTCGACCGTAAAAACAACCTCAGCTTTTTGTACCAAAAACGATATCCAGCTTGTCCAAGCATAGATCTTCCGCTTGAGTCAGTATATTATACAAAAAGACGAAGGGAAAGGTACCAGGGAAAGCTTTCTCCAAAAAATGAGCTCTGAATGAAGACGAATTCCAGTTACGCACGCTGTGCACGTTGTGCAATCGCTCACAAGATTTAGGCCACTATTTATAGTCGATCAGTACAATACCGATCACAGAATGTGCAAAATTTCCGTAAATGTCGAGAAATTCCGAAAATGTCGCGAAATTCCGAAAATGTCGCGAAATTCCGAAAATTCCGCGAACTTTCCGGAATTTCGCGAAGTTTCGCGAAATTCCAGGAATTTCGCTGAATTTTCGGAATTTTGCGGTAATCACGGAAATTTTGCATACTTTGTAAGCGGTATTGTATAGTAATATCATAAGTGGGCGGGGCTTACAGTTCACAGCTAAAAAGCGAAAAATCGATATTTTGGAGGTTGATGAACCACCAAATCCTCAAAAATAGATAGAATCGGTCTTCTGAGGGCTGTAAAATCCCGAAAATCGACAAAAATCGATAAAATCGATATCCTGGAGGTTTCGAAATACCGAAAATTGACAAAAAAATCGATAAAATCGGTATTTTGAAGGTTGCGAAATCCCAGAAATTGACGAAAATCGATATCCCAAAAATCGGCAAAATTGATAAAATCGATATTTTGAAGGTTGCAAAATCCCGAAAATTGACAAAAATCGATAAAATCGATATTCTGAGGGTTTCGAGATTTCGGAAGGTAAAATTTTCGAAAAACTAAGCGAAAAATTCAAAAAACTCCATAATAAGCTCATTTCCAGTGCTTTTATACAGCTGAATCTCCTCCAAGCAGCTCCGCCCACTTTATACCCCCACATCACGATCGAAATTGAAGAAAATAAGAAAAATTAAGAAAAAATAAGGAAAAATAAGCGAAAATCGCGTTTTTCTAAGCTTATTTACCCCTTTCTAGCCGGTTTCAGCCCCCTGACCAGATCCAGATGGCCGCGGGTAACTATCACACGCGCTGCACAAATAAAGAGAGGG